GCCTTATCCAAAGCTGGGGTAGGCATAACCGACGATCTCGCTGTCGGCGGGCTCGAGGGCACGTCAGTAGACTTCTGAAGAATTTTGTCCTGTAGCCTCGGGAAAAACTTGCCGTCAGCGGGGTCGAGGGTGCCGTCGGCAACCTAGTTCAAATCTCCACATTTTGGTTCTTTTCGCTCCAAATTCGCTCCTTTTTGCATCTTTTTGCTCCAATGACCCTAATTCATCATTCCTGCAACAAAACATCAAAAATATTTTTCTTTAAAGTGCAATATCATTAAAAACAATATAAAATAGGTATAAAAATCTCAACATATTTTCCTTGGGTCAGATATCTAGGACTCAATTAGAGCCCTTTATTACTTGAGCGATACGTATACTTGCGTTATTTTTAAAGGGGATTTGACAGTTTAAAGATTTTTAAAAGATAAAGCTATTTTAACTGAAGTTATTTTGCGGGATTAATTTTCATATTTGTTATTGTAGCTGTCGTGTGTATTTTGTAACATTGAAAAATATTTACAAAATTAACACACTAAATCTACTCGCATCACCTGTACATGCTCAAGCCTCCTAAAGGCTTCATGAATATGTGGCGTCCACCAATGACTTGTTGGTCACCTCAGTATGTGAGGTCTAGCCTTAAGTGCAGCAGGAGTAAACAGAGATGTGTGCTCAAAAAACCAAAGCTGCAGATTACACATATCAAAAACAAATTTGTGTGAAGGGAACAAAAACAAAAACATAAAGTCAAAAGGAAAATTTTTTAATGTTGACAATATGAACTTACAGATCAAAAAAATACAATCCACTTATGTAACAAAGTGGCTGATTTCGACTAGTTTTGATTGCGACAATATTCATTTGATCAATCATAAAATCACAAATGACAGCAGATCAGTTAAACAAAGAGAAGGACTGTACGTTCTACCCAAATGCATAAAGTCCTGCGGGCAAACTAAAATTGCTCGAGGGAAAGAATAAATTTGTTAATAAAAACTTAAGAAATAATTTCTTAAAGGAAGTGGAAGACTCTACTGAAAACTTAGTCAAATCTTCCTTTATTGCTCTCGCATCTACATGAGATGAGGAAGTTTTCCTCCAACTAACTGATTCTCCTCTGTTGGGCATGCCTAACAACAACACAACATGGTTAGCGTAGAGTTTTACCAATTTCTCACCTTTCAGAAAGCTCTCCTTTCATTATTCCAAAATCTTACGATATGTAGAGTCAACACATTATTTTGGGGATAAGGAGGCATGTCAAAAAAAAGAATTACATTTATTTCTCTTAACAAATCCATGGTCTCCTCGGAAACGTTATGTCTAACAGTATCAAGTGCACCCCTCACTGCAGAATGATGACATCTACAATTGAACGTTCTTGTATTCATATACCTACAACAACAAAAATGCAAAAAGGAAATATTATTTTATTTATATCATTCTTCATTCACTCATTTGTGTTATTGTTGTGTTATAGTTGTGTTATTGTTATATTATTGTTGTGTTATCATGTGTTATGAAAGTGTTAAGGATGTGTTATGATTGTGTTATGGTTGTGTTATGATTGTGTTATGGTTGTGTTATTCCATGTTATACATGTGTGATTTGTACTATTGCGATGTTAGTATGATTTTAACACAAGTAACACCACAATAACATAAAAATAACAAAAATACATAACAATAACACAACCAGAACACTTCAATAACAGGACTATAACACAACATAATACACCATAACACACCAAATATAACACAATAACACATTTATAACACAATTATAACAATATAATACAACAATAACACACAGTAACACATCTGTAACACAACTTTAACACATCAAACAACCATAAAATAACAATCACACAACCATAAAATGACAATAACATAATAATAACACATCTATAATATAACCCTAATACAATAGAGCAAATTAGTTTTTTATCTAAAATAAATATTGTTGTATATTACCTCAACAACTTCGGGAGACCACTAACTTCTTCTTTAGTACCGTTGCGACCTTCCATTGTTGTGTGCTAGAAAGACAATGAGAACCAATGCATTGTGGTTACCGAACGACGCAATGCTGTAACTTATAAACACTAGGTCTTTGCGAAACCGACCTTGCATTTTCAAGCGATGAAGCCGAAGAGCCGTAGCCGAAGAGAAACTACCGTAGTGTGAAATGGAAACCGACGCACAGGCGCTGAAGAAGCCGAAGGGCAAAGAGAGCTGAATCCGAACTGACGAAGAAGAAAAAGAAACTATCGAAAATTGCCGAAAAACAAAAAAGAGGTGACTAAATATATCATAACTGGATTGGTGTTTCGGCAGGCTAGATTTGGGCCTGATTTCTCAATAAAACACATTTTTTAAATTTTCTGGCCGATGATTCAGGTCGAGTCATGTTAAATCAGCGTTTTTTTTTTTATTTTTTTAGAAGCCCAGGATCCAATTGGAATAGTGTTTGGTTGACTCCCCATGCAACTCAGACCCCCTGCGGGTTCTCTCACAGAAACGTCACCCTCGTCTTCCTCCTTCATTCGTCGCTCGCTCCCCAATTGCACGGCTCGAGATCGTCCCTCAAGCTCCTTTGATATAGGCGAGTATCACCACGCCGTCTCTCCCCTACTTCATCTTCCTTGTTAATCAATGGAATGGGCTAACTTCGGCTCAGCTGGCCGATTAGATTTGCTAGGCGACATCTGTGAGTGCGATGCAAAAGCTGTTGTTGAAAGGGCTGGATGAACTACTTTTCTTAGCTATTTTGATTAGATTGGAATGTCTAATAGTAGATCAGCTCTAGAAACTTTGGTATTAAAATTCCAAACTCTCAGCCCAGGCAGTCCTCTTGTGTTTTGTAGAATTATTACTTTGTCATCTCCGCGAATCTGCGAAGTGAGTAACTTTAACAAATTCCCATCTTCTTTTCGTCCTTCCTCTCGTTGACACTTCTTTGCCCACCGCAAGCAACGTTGATTGTGAGAGCCATTCTTCTATTCGTCTTCTCCCTTTTTTCCTCCCTACTGAAAAGAGAAACCCTAGCACAATTTATTTCAAATCTCTTTATATGATTCAAAATTTTCTTTTCTTGGAAATTGGTAAACAATATATATATTGTGCTGAATTGGAAACTATCTCTCAACACTTGTATCACTAATCACTACTTTGGGCATCCTTATCTCCACCGACCGCAAGGGATGTTGTTAGTGAAAATATTTCATTCTGCTATGATGATTTATGCACTTTATTTTGGGAAGTATGAATGTTAGCCTAGTTGAATATAAGTTGGGTGGTTTCTATTTTCTTATAGTGTTTACTCATTAGCCATTAACCATGATTTCTCCTGATGTCTAATATGAGAATTTGTGTCACAACTATTTTGAAAATTTTTGTTCAGTTTGCATTTTGCTAGAATTATTTTATTTATCATGAGAATGATTCAATTGTCCTTCAATATTCAATATGTTCCTTTTAATGCATATAGTCTTTCTATAGCCCTTCCAATTTAGTATAGTTTGTTTCAATATATATACCGTTTGCATACCATTATAGTTCAGTTTTTTGTATTCATAAATTTCCTGTTTCATGTAGTTCTCTTTCTTATTGTCACTAGTTCTTTATAAGGGGCATCATTAACTTGAATGGAATAATTTCTCATTGAAGCAATGTCCACCCTTTCCCTAGTATTTACTTAAGTCAACCTTTAGCACAAAATACGCCTACTCTAATTGTAAATGCGGTAGATGTTATTTTGATATAGCAAAAAAAGGAAGAAGCATTATGGTTGAAAGCATTTTAATCAAATTTATTGATAAAAATAAATAAATAACTACTGAAAGAATGAAATAGAATTATTATGCTAAGTCATATATGACATAAGAAACTAGTATAATACCTTAGATCTGTAGGAATTTTAAGACTAATAATTGCAATAAAGTAGAGAACAAAAGAAAGATATATTAACTCTTTGATCGAATTGCTAGATAATTTAAGAGAATGAATTAATTTCTCTTTTATATATCCCAACCATTTGATGCCATGGTAGAATTAAAAACATGATTGCTAAGAAAATGATGGTCATGAATATCCCTTCATGGTAGTTGAACAATAATGCATTTATATTTTAATTAAATCAATAAATTTTAGTTTTTCTAAGATTTTTAGATTTATTATTAGAAAGGATTGCACATTGATTTTTGAAGCTAAAAATGAGAATTAAATACATGAAGTTTGTGGAATGAGTTTCACTTAGTATTGATTATTAGACTTCATACCATAAAGTGGGGCCGGCTACTTGAATCCTTTTTCTCCATTGCGTTCTATTGAGTGCCATATTTTTCATTTAGTTTTAATAAATTAAGATCATTTTTTATACAGTAAGCTCAAGTCATTTTAGCTCTACCTCTGCCTTTCTTAACATAAGTCGAATCGAAAACATCTACTCTCCTAATCAGATCATCAAATGGTCAACGTTTAGTATGACCAATCCATCTAAGACAACTCTCTCTACTTTTTTCCGTCACTGGAGCTGCACCAACCTTATCACGGATATATTCATTTCGCATTTTGCCTCTAAGTGAAAAGCCACTCATCCACGTAATCATTCTCATCTCGGCAACACTTGACTTAGTCTTATGCTTCTCTTTTAAAGGCCAACATTCAATGCCATAGAGCATTGCAGGTGAATGGTTCACTACTTTAAAATGAGACAAAGACATAGGGAGCAAAATCACTCAAGAAATAAAGGGCGAACCGAGCATGGGTAACACGAGATGGAGACAAGTGGTACAGGTGGTGATTTCGTGCTAGAACCGAGCTAGCAAGGTGGAGATGCAGGCTTAAGCATCGAACATAATCGATGAGAAGCATAGGAAGGAGGAAGCCGATAGAAGAACTTACGAGAGCAGGAGCGGTGATGTCAGATAGTGTCGTGCATGAGAAGAGTGAGGGGTAACATTATAAAGTGTCTTCATGGACTTGCTTAATTGGCGAGCGGGATCAAATAGACAGGAGCACATGAAGGGTGAGTTGAGAAGGTCAAGCATTGAAGCACGAGGAGATATCAACGAGTGGCCTTGATCGGAGAGGTCATCTCGATGGTTAAGTTTCTATCTAGCTTTCAGGTTTTATCATGGATTAGAAAATGAGTAACAAAAGGGAGTGCTTATTGAAGACAATTATTTTGGAAAAAAGGTAAATCTATTTTAATTAATTTTTCTTTCATTCGTGGCTCTTTTATCCTATTACGATGATTATTAGTTAATGAAATTAATTTTCACTATCTAGCTGTCCGTTATCGCCTTGGAAATTTCAAGCCCACAAGCGAGGTTGTGACATAAGTAATATCCGAGAAAGACTTACATAAGATCATTTGAATCTTATCAAAATAGCCATTAGGATAATTGCAAAATTATGTCACGAGAATATTTTGGAGTTTTGGATTTGATTTTATAATCATTAATGTAGCTAAGGTGTAAATTTTAGGACAAAACATGTTTTAGGTGGAGAAGATTGGAAAGGCTGGCAATTTAAAACACATAGAATGGGGGATGAGCAAGGGGGAGACAAAGGGGAGGAGTTGTAGAGGAATATGAAGTGAGCGAATGTCAAATGAGGGAGATGGAGCGATATAGACAAGATGATTGGAGGAAGGGGTTGAACCATGCAAATTTAATGAAATAAGATAGTGAGTGGTTCGTTACTATAAAATGAGATGAAGTCGAAGTAGGGAGCAAAATTTCTCAAGCAACAAAAGGCAAATTGAGCATGAGTAACGTGGGAAGGAGATGAGCGGTGCAGGAGGCGACATCGTGCTGGAACCAAGCAAGCAAGGCAACATGGGCTTGAGCATCGAACAATTATGCTTCGGAACCAAAATCGACAAGCAATCGACGACGAAACGACAATAGATAGAGGAGAACAATTCAAATAAGGGCTGCTCTTACGAAACACAAATGAAAACAAGCAACATACAATGGTGATTTACTTTTCGAGAGGTTGATTGGCTCTCTCACAACCCTAGACGCCGCTAGGAATATCACAAGAAGAAGAAAAACACAACAACCAACAAAACATGCATGAAGAAAACAAACCTTAAGTTATTACCTTTAATAGAATCCCCCTATAACATTTGAAACTTTATTTCTAAACTTTCCCTCCAAACTCTTATAATTTCTCCTTCTTCAATATGTGATTCCGGCCCTAATGGACCCCACTTGCATGATGCCTTCTTTTGCTGTAGCCCTTGACCGCCCCGCCTCTTCTCACGGCAAAAACCTGCCCACCTGTTGTTGGGGCGGGTTGGTTGGGTTTCTTTCGGCCAGTCCAGAAGGGAACCAGCTCATTCCTTGGCGCAACACTATTCACCTCTCAAAAAAGCACATTGTTCTCAAAGTAGAAGGATGGAAATCGCTTGTGGATCACCTCGTAAGGCTACCATGTTGCTTCATAATCTGACATCCCTTTCTACTTAACCAATACCTCCCCCTGCTCCCCCTGCTCCCCCTGCTCCCCCTGCTCCCCTTGCTCCCCCTGCTCCCCGGCGCACTCCTTTGATCTCTAACAACTCCAGAATCACCTACAAGTTCTTCGTCAGTGTTGGTGGTAGTGTAGACGATGGTGTATGATCTCCAATCGTATGTCTCAGCTGTGATATATGAAAGACCGGGTGTGCCGATACTCAAACGGTAAGCCGTTACTCCAATGCGCGCTATCATCTCATAAGGTCCAAAGTACCGCGGTGAAAGTTTCTCGCTCCTTTTTCTGGCCAATTTCTTTTGTTGGTAGGGCCTCAGCTTCAAGGAGACCATATCCACTGGTTCCAACTGCACCTCTCTCCTATGTTCATTCGCTTTCTGCTTCATGATTTGTTGATTTCTCAGTAGATGCCCCTTGAGCTCTCATAGTATTTTGTCCCTCTCCTCCAAGTACTGATCGACGCTGGATATTAGTGTACCGCTATGCCCATAATGTATCAAGTGAGGTGAATCCTACCCATACAATATCTTGAAAGGGTGGTCTGTGATGCGGTGTGGTACAATGTATTATATCAATATTCGGCCCACACAATCCACTTGGCCCATAAGTTCGGCGTATCGGATAAAAAAAACGTAGGTATGTCTCCACACTTCTGTTGATCACCTTCATCTGCCCATCGCTTTGGGGATGATATGCGATGCTTCTCTTAAGGTCTGTTCCTTGCAACATGAATAGCTCTTTCCAGAAGTGGCTGAGGAACACCTTGTCCCAATTTGATTCTATTGATTCTATTGATTCCGACACTCTGTGCAAATGGGCCACTTCCCGGATAAACATCATCGCGACTGAGACCGCAGTGTAGGGATGCCATATGGGGACGAAATGTGCATATTTACTCAGGCGATCCACGACCACAATGATCACCATAAATCGTTCTGACCATGAAAATCCCTTAATAAAATCCATTTCTAGCTCTTCCCAAATATTCCCTGGTAATGCTAATGGTTGTAAAAAACCTCTAGGTGTCGTGGTTAAATACTTGAGCCGCTGACATATATCGCATTTTACCACTATATTGTCTATTTCTCTACACATCCCCACCCAATAAAGCTCTGCTGCTAGACGATTGTAGGTCTTATGTACCCCTGAGTGTACCCCGATTGCACTGCCATGAAACTCCTATAATAATCTGGGGATAGATTTTGACACCCTGGGAGCATGAATCGCTCATGGTGGAGTAGCTGTTGCCCCCCCAATGCATGTCCCAGATGAATGTTCGGGTCCTGTAGTAACTCTGCCCTTATCTTCCTCAGCTCCTTATCTCGTTCGCTCTCCCGTCTCAAGGTTTTTAAATCTAGGACCAAGGGTACTGATAGGGCGCCATCATTTGGTGCATCGACAACCTTGTTCTCCAATTCTGGCATGTAATGAATCTTAAAATTATACCCCAGTAGCTTGGATAGCCACCTCTTATGGTCCTCAGTCACCATCCGCTACTTCAGAAGATACTTCAAACTTCTCTGATCTATCTTGACTAGAAAATGTCATCCCTACCGTTGCTTCAAAAGATACTTCAAACTTCTTTGATTTGTCATGACCAGAAAATGTCATCACAACAAGTAGGGATGCCATTTTTGAATGGCCAAGACAATCACCATCAATTCCTGCTCATATACTCACTTTAGCTTATCTTTGGCCATAAGAACCTGGTTGAAGTAGGCAATCGGTCGCTGGTCCTGCATGAGCACTGCTCCTAACCCATACCTTGATGCATCCGTTTACACCGCAAACGGTTTACTGAAATCTGGAAATGCTAATATCCGAACAATGGTCATGACTCTCTTCAGATATTCAAATGCTTGTGTTGTTGCTTCCTCCCATTTGAATTTGTATTTCTTCAACTTCTTTGTCAGTGGCCATGCTATCGTGCCATATTCCCTTACGAACTTCCGATAATAGCCAGTGAGATTCAGGAATCCTTTCAACTCCTTAAATTACTTGGTAAGGGCTAGTCCACGTAGCCTCAATCTTGGATTGATCCACTGCTACCCTCGTTCGGGTCACTACATGCCCTAGGTACTCCACTTATAACTGTGCAAATGAACATTTCATTAAGTTGACATACAACTGGTGCTCCCTCAACATATCCAGAACTGTTCTTAGGTGTCCACATGCTCTGTATCTGCACGACTGTAGACCAAGATGTCATCAAAGAAGACCAGGATAAAATTCTGAAGGTAAGGTTGAAAAACCCTATCCATGACGGACTGAAATGTCGTCGGGGCATTGTTGAGGCCAAACAACATCACTGAGAACTCATAATGTCCTTCAGCTGAGCGAGCAAGACAGCACGGGCTTGCGCATCGAACATACTCGATCTCATGCAAAAGCCTATGAAGGAGGAAACTGACAGATAAACTCGCGAGAGCAGGAAGTGCGTGAGAATAGAACTAAGTCAAAGGCGAGTTGTTGTGCTGATGAACTCATTTGATCTTAGAAGGCCAAGAAATGAAGCATGAGAAGGCATCAATGAGTGGGCTCGTTCAGAGACTAGGATTGAGTAAGTAAATTTTTTCTCAGATTTATTGATGGTTTAGTAAATGAGTAATAGAAGGGAGAATGTTTTTAAAAGACGCTGTCATTCTGGAGGAAGGTAAATTTATTTTAATATTTTTTTTTCAATTAGCGTTTCTTTCATTTTATTAGGATGATTATTAGTTAATGATTGAAATTGATTTTTAACGTCCGACTATCTTTTTCCGTCTTGTAAATTTCAAGCCCCCAAGCCTGGTTATAACAGATTTCGAATCATTTTATTTATAAATTTATATTATTTACTTTTGTCATAGGTTAGTATCTCTTTCATAAAATTGAGAAAAGCCTCCTAATAAGATGAGTAAATCATGTTGAACTCGGGTTGTAATTCTAATGAATTTTTGCCCTGTTAAGAAGCAACATTTTTGAACCGACTTGTTTAACCATAATTATGGATCCTTTTAAATGCTTATAAACGTAAGTAACATCATCCAAATTTATATACATGGCCTTTGATCTCTTTTTTCTTACTTCTGGACCTCTGCAACCCAACTGTTATTGAAGTCATCTGATGCTTTCTTGCCTTCAGGAAGGCATAGTGGGAACTGTCGAAGCAGCTGACAAACTTTATTAAAGACACAGTGGTACGAGAAACGAGGAGTTATAGTGATGTTCTCCTTGTTTTATGGGCTTTGGAAGTACATGTTCAGCAAGATAGAATTTCATGTACTTATCCTTGGTGTTCACAAGGCTGGAAAAACAGTAATCCTCGCGCTCTTACTTTTAGGCATATTTTGGTCCTATATATATCAATGCTTTGTCAAAAGATGTGCTCATTTTTGCCCCAAAATTTTGTATTCTCCAGTTTAGTCTCTCAATTTATTAAAAGAATTAAGTTGAGGGACCAAAAGAGTCATACAGAAGTATTAAAAGAGTCGAGTTTTGATAAGTTGAGGGAACGAATTGGAGAAAATGGAGAGCAAGAAAGTTTGAGGTCAAAATGAATACATTATGAATAATGGGATCAGTTTAGTAAATTTTTTTGGGTAATTATCACCACTGGCAGTAGTTTTTTTGTTATACTTAGTCTGTTTTTTATTTATTTTTTAATTCAAGATGCGCTTGACTTTTGATAATATATAGTGTAATGCTGGTGTCCTCGTTTTTCAACTGATTGATGTGTATGACTCATTCTTACTTTCTATGTTTGTTCCCTCTGGGCACTCACTACACTCTTAAAATCGCCAAACTGCTTTGCCTATATGCTGGTTCAACGTTGACTTTCACATAGCCACTTCCCGTTTTGAATGACCATCTGATGTCTTTTTTCACATCTTAATTAAGCTTTTGCCATGTACTTAGCTAGCCATGTTTGGTAGTTTATGCACCTTTAGAATGCTGAGTGGTAATGAGATCCTCATGCCTGATAGTTCACTGTTCTCATTTATTTCCTATGATTAGAATCATCTTTTTCTTGCACTTGAGATTGTTTCTTCTGCATGAGTTCGGTATATTTTTTTCCTTTACAGCCTTCTGTCCGGTTGAGAGAACAGTCTTGTATTTGATATGTTTTGAATATTCTTATTCTACTTGTCAATCCATTGATGCCAATGTGGTAGATCAAAAGAACTGCAAATCTGTCGTCCCAAGTTTTTTACTGGTTTTGTGAGTCTGCTTGGGATTGTCAGATAAGTAAACTTAGCAAATCATTACCTTTTAATAGATTAATGCAAGTTGTGTTAGCTTCAAGAATGCAAGAATTGCTTAATATCCACGGAAGGAATTGAAGTTAAAACTTATTTGTTCAGACATTTGCATGCATTTTTATAAATGTAACTATATACAAAATAGGGCTTATGATGAACCTAAATTATAAAGATGCAATATTAATTGAGGGATTATATGCTATTGTTATTTTAGACTTAATATTATTTATTCTTGTTTCTAGCATATGTCTGATGTAACTTTTTAGATTGTATGCAAACAAATAGAAGATCCTCAGTTAATTTGAGTGACTATTACGTAGCTACTCTATAGCAGTTACTCGTACTCGCAAAAATGAATTGCCATCTAATATATGTTTCATCTTCCTTTTATATCCGTTTACCATTGTCATCTTTTTTGGTCCCTCATCCACCTAAAAGTGTTTGGATTGACGTCTACCAAGTATAAAGATGAGAGGAAAATGTGTGATAGCTTCTGTTGAAAGCATAGCATGGCTTGCACTGTACTGTGCAGGGCAACACAAGTTGTTACTCAATCTTTAGGATCCAAACTTGTAATTTTTTCTCAAAATAACGCTTAATTTTGTCTTTTTTTAATAAAAATTAAGTATATTGTCAATGTGAATTGAATGAATTATTTATATTATTAATATAAATAATATTAGGCTACACCTTGTTGACTTTTGAGAAATATATTCTAGCAAAACTACATGGGCATTTTGATGATAGTTCTTGAAAAATTCGTTGCTCAGGAACTAATCTTTATTTTAGGACTCATATTGTTGCATGCAGCTAGAAAAATTGTTTTCGAAAATAATGATTTATGTTTCCCTCATCGTGTTTGAAAAAAAAAAGAAGCCATTATTTGGATTGTGAAGTTATATTTAGAGTTAAAATCAATATTGATTGCTATTTTACATCCAACCAATTGGCTAATTTTGCTAAATTCATTGTTTTTCAAAACATATTTTCTTCAAGTTACCAAATGGACCATCATGATTGTTTACGATATGTTTTGAGCTTTCTAAGTATGCATGATGTTCTTAGATCTATTACTTCTTAAATGTTTTTTTTTTTTATTGGGGCAAACTTGTTTATTATGCAAAGCAAAAGCCGAAAGGTTCTCTCATTTGGTGATAGAATAACATTATGCTAATGTTCTTTCCTCTTTCTATCCTCCCATCCCTAATATATTCTTGGCTAATTTGACCTCCTTTGTAAGATAATTTACACAATTGAAATTGAAGCATCCCCTTTCTCGATTGATTTAGGTTTTGGCCTACAGGTTAGCAAGCGCCTTTCCCTATACTAGTGTCAAGAATTGTGGCCTAAAACCGCTACCTGTTGCCACCCAATCCTCCTTAATATTATGACTCAAACTTCGAAACTAGCAGTAACTTTTACCTTTTTATGATGGATGCCACTTCCATGACCCCAACATGCTGCCGCACAACCTTCCTTTGGGGCTAGCCTACTTGTTGGTTCAAATGAAATTTGTACTATGTGACATGTCATGTTTGTAAATCTCATTGTCTCTTGGTCTAGGTGGCAATAAGCACATCATTATGGGCCTTATGTCATGCTATCCTAATGACTTACACATGCTACTTCATAAAGTGTTTTAGTTTGCATTCTAGTTGCATCAATGATATATTTATCCACATGTTATAGGGATCAGATCATGCAAGGAATATTCAAATCTAATTGTCTAATTTAAAGAAGTTTATGAGAAGACGCTTTAGTCATAATTTTAACCTGATATTTTGAAATGATCAAGAAACCAATCAGTTGAGTATTATATACTATCAAATTTTCTTATAGAAACTGTTGATGACACTAGTTTTTAGATTTCATTGTTGAGATCGAATATGCATCACCACAAGTCTATTGATGAAGGTGGATTTTAAACTGGAGGCTTGATGATCAAGCACAGAAAGCATGAGGTCTGATCTTTGAATTAAAATTTATATTGCACTATTATAAAGATGAGTTTTGATTTTTAATTTTACACTTGTTTGCTATTGTGATGCACTGATGCTTTCTAATTGTCATGCCTCATGATGACTCCAGATTGAAGATAAGAAGTTACAAAGATGGTTATGACTTAAATGATTGAATCTACCTTTAGCATATTATATAACTTAATCACCAGAAATGATCCGCACCTATACATCCAATACTAACCTAAAATCACAAAGATCTAATAAGTTTATTCAATCCAGTTGGGCGAAAGGATTTCAAAATACTCTTTTCATTGAACTACAGAGCTTCCATTAAATATCATAGTTCACATACATCTCATCAAACTTTTATCATATATTATGTTAGTGTGCTTGATGTCTTACACAAAAATTAAATATAAAAATATAGTGTAGTAAATTCAAATTTGATCTTCGCTCAAGTTCATCCTTGACTTTCCATCTGTTTATAATGATATTCAAAATAGTAATTTAGTAAGCTATAAAGCTCAGCGAAATAACTCTTGAAATGAAGCAACATGGTATGTTAATCACAAATTGGGCATAAGAATTAAAATCACACCATATACTTGTATAATGAATCACATATAATTGTTATAAAGAGAATTTTTGAATAATTATATGATAAAATAGTAAGCGAGGTAATCTTATTAAAGGTCCCTGAAAAACAAATATTAAATATTTACTTAACATATGCATTCTGCTACTCAAGTGTACTAGTTTCAATATTTAATATTAATTACAATATAATATTCTTTTTTTATTTTATTAATTTTTCAATATATAGTATTTAATTTTAATCTTAGAATGCGTCATGTATGAATGTCTTGGTTTATTGGTTATCATAAGATACTGAATTGTGTTAGTCACACCAAACATATCGTAAGTTCATAGCCTAGCTTGTCTGCTAGCATCTTTAAGTTAAAGCTTTGCTGTATACCCATCATTATTGTTATTGAACTACTGAGATCATCATAAACATAAGCCCTTCCGCACAATTGTGCTTTGCTGTAACCCATCATTATTGTTATTAAACTACTTATTTTGCTACAATCATCTTTTATATTTTAACTAATCTAGTTTTTTAGTTGTGGATAGATTTTTTTCTTTAGTGCATTTTTTTTAGATGCGAATTAGATCTTATGTCCTACTGTCATTTTCCACAATGGAATCAATAGGAAATTTTCAGTTCCCGGGTCGGCTACAGAGCTCTTTTGTCTCATAGCCCATAGACGCCATTCGTTTTTCCACCACCTGAATTGCCAAAGCCGTTCAAGACACTGCTACTGATACCAGATTCAGATCACTGCTGGCATGACTCTGCAGGAACGTCGGTTGCTATTTTACAGCAGGTAGAAGCTGAATACAGAAATTTGATTCCTGCCCCCATGTGAAGATAGCCATAATACAGGAAGGGGAATTTCCGTTTAAAACCGTGAGGCAAAGTCTTTCTACAATGAGAATACAAAACCAAAAGATACCTTTGTTCATTTAAAAATATAAAGGGCGCCTTCCAAAATATCTAATTCTCTCTTACTCTTCTAATTTCTGAGTTTGAGACTTTAATTATGTAGTAGTTCAAGATCAAGAATCCGTGCTCTTCCTGATTGTTTTTGATACTAAGTTTATATGGTACTTTGTTTTAATCCGTCTAATTCCCAATACAGCAATTGCACCAACAGGATCTCATGGCAAGTTTCTTGTTTAAAAATTTACTTATTTATCTGTTTGATTGTTCTGCGCATCTTATCATTTATTAATTTTCTTCCTATACTGCTCTATTAACTTTTCCATAGTTTGTATTTTTTGTTTGATTTTTTGCATGTCAACTAGATTCTCATGGATAACTTTGTCTTTACGGAAGATTAGCCGACTGTAGAAATCAATTGATTTTTTTGATGTTCTGAGATGTAACAACTTGATAAACCAACTTATTGAGTGTGTCGGAGCTCTTAGAAATTTGGTACTTTTTTCAGACATGTAAACACGTGATAGTTATTTAGTTCTATCCTTAAGTTTCTGATTTTGTAGTTGTAAAGTGAAGGAAAATCAATGAACATTGTTTGATTAATGATGCCCTAAAGAAATCAATTGAATATCCTACTTTTCTTCTGTTTTTCATCTCAATTTTCACGTTATATATAAGGCTTATGATAGCTTGGTTAATCATTTGAATTCAAAACCATTGGGGTCTCGATTGTACATGTAGTTTGATCTTTTCTTAATATATTAATGATCTTTGAAAATCCCTTCTTGGTATGAAGTAGCTCTTGCACCATTCATGCAAATTAATCTAATGAGGCCAAACTCATAGGCCTAAAAATTTTGAGAGTTGGCACTAAGATAGAAATGGAGATAGAGAAAGTCTAATAGCATCCCATTTTTTTCATACAAACATATAAACTCATCATTTTTTTTTTTTTTGCCTGTGATTTGGATGGTGTCGCTTTACTTTAATGTAATATTTAAGTGCCTTGTATATTTACTTTTCACTCTTTAAAGCCATGCTTGATAAAGCACTCATCCATGCTTATTGGGTAATTTTACTTGATTTTGAACTTATTAAGCAGCACAATTTAGTGATGAGCATTTTGCCAAACATGCAGTCTTTGCTAGAAAAACTTAAGGCTATATACTTGAACTTGGAAGGGCTTCCACCTGATCGGATTGTGCCAACAGTTGGGCTTAATATTGGTCGTATTGAAGCTTCAAATGCCAAACTTGTATTTTGGGACTTAGGAGGTCAGGTATGCTTATCAAAGTGAAATTTCTTTGTTGCGATTCTATTATTTGTGTAATTATTGTGGTTTTTTAGGCTCGAGTTTGATTTTATGTTATAATTTTATAATGAGTAGATAAATAAATATCTTTGAACAGTTAATTTTTGGAATTAATGATAATGCATTCTAAAATATTAATTGTAAATTTCATAAAGAGAGCTATGCTCATCTATTTTTTTTATGGTGATTTAAGGAGATATAGCTTCCTTCATAAGTTAACAGTCACCCTCGCACATGTTAGGAAGATTCACATTGAATCTGCGCTCGAGCACAGATAGAAAACAAAATACACACAAGAAATATTAGTAAAAAACTTTTATTTACATTGCCTTGGATATGCCTTATTTATGATCACAAAATCACTCTTATAAAAATTATAATATCATAATATTTGAGAACCTTGTAACAAGCTATACTTGATCCTCATGTCATGGTGGATGACGACAAGTCCATACTTCTCATAAGAGACATATTATGAAGAAAGACTAATAATGGTGTGTTGCGGGAAGGAATTTTGTAGGATTATGGGTGATGTTTGTTTTTGTGTTATTATGATTGGTAATATATCTTTGTAATAGTACGTGGAAGCTTATTATGTGCATAGGGTCAATTGGATTAGCGTTTTGGTGGGGTATGTTGTGGGGAGGGAGGAGAGGTGTGGGAGGGAGGGTTGGGGAGATAATTATCTCAATTTTAGGGTTTATTAGGGCTTAGTTGAGATCTTTTATAGGAAGCAGTGAGTTGAATTATGATTTTTCTAGGGTTTGCAAGCAATATAATGTTTTTAAAGGGGAATATAATGGTTAGCAGCGTAGCATCCAAAAGTATCGCTTGTCGGGATAATGTTTGCTTTGGCCTAATGGCCATAGTTTTTTTCCCATTGATCTATGATCTTATCTAAGTTCCTATGAGATCACTCATCCTTTGAGAGTGCTTCCATATGAGCATACTCAACTTTGGACTTTCAAATGAAATTCAAACTGTTACACCAAAAGATGTCTCGATATAAGAGTTTAGATTCATTCTACGTAAGAAATTTTACAATCTCCCCCACTTAAATAACTAATGTCATCACCAAAATCATCTATTATACAGATAAGCTTCTAGAGGTATCCTTTACAGATTCATGATGGTGCTCTTATCATATGCAACACTTTGGCCCATCTAAGGTTTAAGGGGTGGCTTACATGGCATAGCTCTTTGTTCAATATGGCACTTAATTCCCATATTCAGGCTAGTGTAATGCTGATACCCTTTGTAATAGCTCAAACTCACATCCATCAAGATATTGCCGCTTTGGCGTAATGGCTTTATGGTTTTTTCCCATTGATGTCATTTCCTAGGAGGTCACCTATCATTAATGCTTAATCTTTGGAGTTTCAAATGAAATTTCAACGGTTAAATATAATTTTTCTTAATTTTAAGTCTATTTTTTATTAACTCTTGTTTCTTCTATTTGTTATGGGGCGTTTTCAACATTTGAAAGATTTTATTTGATTACTGTTTACCTTTTATTTCATTGATGGAATATGCTTTCTGGATAAATTCACCATTATGTACTGTTTACTCTACCTAATTTCTTTAAATATCCACGGGTAAATTCTTTCACTATTCTTTTCAACTAATAAAATATTTTTCATTATTATTTGTCTGCCTTTGTACCGTTTATTTGAATCACAACTAAAGGTGTTGACTCAATATCAATGGTCTATGAGTTGATACAGATTATCTGGTTTTTAGATATTGTTTCTTTTAATAATGGTTCAAAAAAGTGGAAATAGCATTTGACCCACGATCCACATATGACTTACCTTACTTATAGTTGGTTTCGTCACTGCAGGTATGTACATGCAAGCATCTAGAACTCTTAAACTACTAATAGTTGCATTGGTTTTAATCTTCATTATATATATATATATGGTTCAAAAAAGTGGAAATAGCATTTGACCCACGATCCACATATGACATACCTTACTTATAGTTGGTTTCGTCACTGCAGGTATGTACATGCAAGCATCTAGAACTCTTAAACTACTAATAGTTGCATTGGTTTTAATCTTCATTATATATATATATATGGTTCAAAAAAGTGGAAATAGCATTTGACCCACGATCCACATATGACTTACCTTACTTATAGTTGGTTTCGTCACTGCAGGTATGTACATGCAAGCATCTAGAACTCTTAAACTACTAATAGTTGCATTGGTTTTAATCTTCATTATATATATATATATGGTTCAAAAAAGTGGAAATAGCATTTGACCCACGATCCACATATGACATACCTTACTTATAGTTGGTTTCGTCACTGCAGGTATGTACATGCAAGCATCTAGAACTCTTAAACTACTAATAGTTGCATTGGTTTTAATCTTCATTATATATATATATATGGTTCAAAAAAGTGGAAATAGCATTTGACCCACGATCCACACTGATTTCCCATGTGCTAGACCCCATGATGATAGCCCGCGCCATGTACCTAAATATTCGAGAACCCAGCGGCACTGGAAATCGAACCCGTGACCTGAAGGGACTTACAGTGAACCTCGCCAACTAACATGCCACGGCTTGCGGCACGAGCTCGCGCACGCGCCCACACACACACACACACAAACACACACACACACACACACACACATATATAGAGACACACACACAACAACAAAACCTTTATCCCACTAAGTGGGGTCGGCTAAATGAATCCTCCTTTTTCTCCATTGCGTCCTATTTAGTGTCATATTTTCATTTAATTCTAATAAATTAAGATCATTTTTTATACAATATGCCCAAGTCTCCCTAGGTCTACCTTGCCTTTCCTAACATAAGTCGAATCTAAAACATCTACTCTTCTAATCAGATCACAGATGGTCGATGTTTAATGTGAGCAAACCATCTAAGACAACTCTCTCTAATTTTGTCTGTCACTGGAGCTACGCCAACCTTATCATGGATATATTCATTTCGCATTGTCTCTAATTGTAAAGCCACTCATCCACCTAATCATTCTCATCTCGACAAAACTTAACTTAGTTTTATTCCTCTCTTTTAAAGACGAACATTCAACGCCATACAACATTGGAGGTCTCGCCACCATCTTATAAAATTTTTCTTTCAGTCTAAGCGGTACTTTTCTATCACACAATAGGCCCAAAACTCTTCCACTTCAACCAACCAACTTGAATTCTACTAATAACATCCCCATCAATATCACCATCACTTTGAAAAATAGACCCGAGATATCTAAAGCGTTCAAACCTTTTAATAATTTGTTCACCCATAATTACATTTCTATCACTAGAGCTACTACTACTAAAATTACATTTCATGTATTAAGTCTTAGTTCTACTCAAATGAAGGCCTTTGGACTCCAAGGTAGACCTCCATAATTCAAGCTTTGTTTGAGCTTTTTCTCTCGTCTTACTCACGAGAAGGATATCATCAACAAAACGAATACACCAAGGTACATCCTCCTGTAAGTGTCTAGTAAGACCATCCATAACTAAAGCAAAAGGATATGGGTTTAAAGCTGATCCCTGATGTAAACCAAGGAAAATATGAAAATATTTGGTCAATACTCCTGTTCGAACACAAGTATAGCTCTTGTATACATATCTTTAATGACTTGAATATAAGTCATTAACATCTTTCTTCTCAAGAACTCTCCAAAGGATATCTCTTGAGATCTTATCGTAAGCTTTTTCTAAATCAATAAAACTCATATGTAGATCCTCTTTATTATCTTTGAACTTCTCCACCAAACCTCTCAATGAATGTATAGCTTCCATAGTAGACCTGCCCGACAAAAATTCAAATTGATTATGAGAAACCTTTGTAATATGTCTTAACCTATGTTCAATTACCCTCTCCCATAATTTTAAAGTATGACACATCAACTTAATTCCTCTATAATTTGCACACTCTTATGCATCCCCTTTATTCAAAATGGGGTCCAAAATACTCTTGCTCCACTCCTCAGGCATCTTTTTAGTTTTTAAAATAATATTAAAGAGTTTAATAAACCAAGAAACTCTCAAATCTCTGAAATATTTTCACACTTCAATTAGGATATCATCAGGTCCTACAGACTTTCCACCATTGGTTTTCTTTAAAGCCTCTTCAACTTTTTTTTACTAATGTGATGATAAAAGTGAAACTTTTTTTTATTATTAACGATATTAAGATCACTAAGGTTGATCGTTTTTTCCGAAATTTCATTAAAAAGTTTATCAAAATAACTCACCAACATATTTTGAATATCTTTTTCTAAGAAAAGTACTTTTTGATTTTCATCTTTAATGCACTTTACTTGAGTTAAATATTTACTTTTCTTTTCTCTTTAATTTACTTTTACTTGAGTTAAATATTTACTTTTCTTTTCTCTTTATTTGACTAGTTTATACATATACCTTCTTTGTATCTAATTTATTATAAAGATCAATAAAAGTAGAATTTTTAGCGTTACAGATTGTTTTTTTAGACTCTCTATGAGTCGTTTGATATTTTTCTTAGTTCTCTAAGTTTTTACATTTAAACAAATTTTTATAACTTATTATATTTTATCTTTTCTTGCACATTATTAATTCACCACCAATTATTTTTTATTATAGAAGTTTTTTCTTTTGATTCTCCAAGTACAACTTTTGTCATTTATTTAATAATGTTTGTTACTTTATCCCATATAGAATTTGTTTCTTCATGAACATCCCAAATTTTGAAATTTTGAATTTTAATCAATAAAAATAATTTTATTTGTGTCTTTTAGGTACCCCCATCTAATTCTACGACGATGATTCCTGGTGTTCTTTATTTTACAACTCTTCATCTTAAAATCTAGAACTAATAATTGATGTTGACTATTTAAATTCTCACTTAGAATGACCTTACAATATTTACATTCTTGGCGATCTCTTCTTCTCATAAGAAAATAATCAATTTGTGTTTTATTATATTCATTCTTATAAGTAATAATATGTTCATCTCTTTTTTTGAATAAACAAGAGTTGTTGCTTGGAAATAAATTTTGAGTCCTTAGAAACTTTTTTTGGATAGAAACATTAGAAACGTTTTTTTTCAGGTTTCTTTCTATATTTTGTTTAGTTCTAAATGAAAATTATTCACCACTATATACCATTAAGAGAAAATCCTGCTAACATATGTAATCTATCTAAAACCTCATCATTATAACCTTGCAATTTTTCCACGCCAAAAAAACCTTCTGGTTGATGCTGGATGGTGGCCACGACCATGCTCATAAATTTCCAATACTTTTATAGTGATTCATATTCATGCCCACACATTTCACACATATTTTCTGCGCTATAATATCTCAAGTCATATGAATCCATGAAGTTTTCAAAACTTGTCGATCCTATACCAGTTTAGTATCTCTACAAATCCGAACACACACACACACACACAAACATATATATATATATA